CCCTCACTCAAGCATCACTGGTTGTCTAATGAAAAAAAAAAAAAGTACTAAGACATACGAGGCACCCACCTTGAACCACACACCATCCCGAAAAAGCATGGAAGCTTCTGTAACAATCTCTGGGAACCGAAATTTTGGAAGCTATTGACTGCAATTTAACAAGAGCATTTGATGAAACTGATTTCCAAATTTGCATAATTCTTTGAATGCCAGTAGCTTGAAAATTTGCTGTCTATATTTATTATTCTCAAATAAATATGGTGTCCAATTCTACATTTTAACAGCAATACATGCGTCACTTATGCATGCTTACCGTGATTTATAACATTATTGCAAGCTTTGAGTGATAAATAAAATATTCATTCTGCACATACTACAGATCCTGTTAACAGCTGTAGTGCATGCCTAGAGAGTTTACTTTATCCAATATACCGTTAAGCTTGTCATTAATTAGAAGTAGTCATTGGAGGTGGTGCTCTAAACTATTCCTAATGTTCGTACACGTAAAAGTGTTTAGCAAAGTTTCAACACCAAGGTTGGGCGAGGTGCATAGAATATTTAATGAACCAAAACAAAATCTAAACATAGTGGAAATAAGCAGAGTAAAAACGATGGGGCTCGAACGTGTGGACTAATGACTGAATTAGTGCTCGAACAGTAAGGCACAGCAATTTTGCCACATTTAGCCATCAAGTATTCATTCGAAAATACAGTTCAAGGTGAACGAATGGCTTAAAATGTACGGATAGGCCCCATGAGGGAACTTATGTTGCTGGTGTATACCGTAAGTTCGAATTTTACTAAACAAGCTGCTTGAACATTTAAGTGCAAGTGCAACCTTTGCAAGCCATACCTAAGACGATGCAACACGCTGCACACGAACGCGCATCAACTCAAGTATCACTATAGTTTATAAAGACGCATGCCGGCGAGGATGCATACACCGGCATACTTTCGGCCACCCGCCAGCAAAAACATCTCTGATTGTAGTCATAATGTATAACAATACTGTAGCTGTTTAAAATGGAACGTAGAGCAGATGAAACTGCCTTAGACAGGTTTACGTCTTAGACAGGTCCTAGGCATGATCAACCCCTACAACTAACAAAGGCCCCAGTATTATTGAACAAAATTGTGGTCACTCATTAGTAGGGCCCCCTCCAACACCACTGCCAACAGAGGCGACCGCCACCACAACTCTGCTCAAAATCTTCCTCCGAATTCCCGCTGTGAGTGCATGCTTCACACTCCACACAAAAGAAAAAAACTTCTCCCCACTTAACTTCACACAGCTTTGCCTTTACACCGCTGAAGTACTACAGAAAAGTTGGGTCGCCCTGTCAACAAAAGCTCGCTTATTGTGCACATGGTAGGGAAAACTTGGTGAACCCAGTGATAACAAAGTGCCGACAGCAGCAATGTGATACATACCTGGCGAGTGCTCCACGATATGAAGCCACACCTCCTCGTTTGAGTATAGGGCATCTTCGGAATCAGCAGCACTGGCACAACACAAAAAACGAATACAGAGCATAAGCACACTTAATACATGACAGAAATCGACTCAAACCCGACCCTTCGAGAGGCGATTGAGCGGCGTGTAGCACGTTTTAACAATTAAAATTGTACTAGCCGTGCAGACGCACACCGCATTTGCACATCTTAATTTCTTAATGCTGACTAGAGATCTTTGTTATTAAATTTAAGTATGTAAAAAATATTTAATATGATATACTACATAAATATGTAAAGCAAATAATATATTCAATTAAAAAAATAAGGAAACGTAGAAAACACCCTGCATATATGTTATAGACAATCGAAACTTCATATGCAAATTGTATTAAATGTTCTAGAAAAAAACGTTTAGTAAAAGTTTATAAAAAAGCCTTCTTGCAAAGAACGTTTTCTCAACGTCTTTTAGCAAACTTCCTGTGTAACTCATTTATTCAAGGTCACATGATATACCCAGATGTCCGCATACCTTTTTAGTCGTTTCGAGAAGTTTTCACGACGTTTGGTGTTTCTTGGGCACCTGACTAGCCGAACGAGGAGAAAGCAGAACTTTTGAACCACTCGTGCCATTCCCCACAGTAATGACAGGCATTCTTTTCATGTACAAATGATACAGAAATGGACAAGCAGCATTTTATTACGTTCCTAATGCAGGAAAGGTTCTTTTTTTATGCCAGCTGTACTGATTACTAGCGATTAATTATACTCGGACACTCTTGTCATCGGGATCATTTCTAAAATGTCCCAGTTATGGTGCACGTTGCGTGACACAAGTAGGGCACTGCTGCTGATAATATTGCAGTTTTAGACATTCCCATACATTGAGCTTTCACTCTGACATGAACCGTTATTTGCCTTTAGTGTCTCTTTAAGTGCACATATTGCTTTAGAAGTGCATAGCGGCTGCTTCACTCTTTGGCAAGATGTGATTTATTGCATAGGCGATAAATCACATTTTTACGAAGTATCAATACATTGAAACTGTATTGGGTTAGGATACCTAAGGGATTTTAAATCAACCTGTGTAAAGACTGCTCCTCCAGCTTACACTGTGACTGTGGTGTGCGTTCTATGCAAGCCTGCAGTGTTTTTTTAAGAGTGTATTTCAGCCATAGAGTCCAGGAAACAAATTTTAAATAGGCACCATGTTTTTTTTGTCTTGCGTTGTAATGCCGGCCATATGTGTGTTGATAAGGACCACTTCATCATTATCCCGTTCAGTCTCTGCATTAGCAGTCATGGTATTATGGCAGTAGCAATGCTTCTGGTTTCTGGTTGTCATATTCCGTGGGTCGCTCTCTTGTACATATATGCTTTGGTGCATTTAGGTGGGCCACTACAGGTTGCATTCACTCGAAGCCACAAAGGCTACATCAGCAATGTGCTTAGAGGTGCTCACAATGTCGCATACAAAAAGACGACGGAAAGTAACTCAGCAATACCTTGTACTAGAAGTACTTGACGTAGTACTTCAGACAAGTTCTGCCAACTACTGCTTCTGTCAGGCATCTCTTACTTGATGACTTATTGGGCAGGTTGATAATCTTATAACATTGTGATTTTTTAGCTTAAAAAAATCACCACCATATCCACAAAGTGAATTATGTTAGAGGAGCTTGCTCGGATATGATCGGGTCACCCGAGAATCCTCCACACATATCTGCTATCATCATATATGGATTGACAACATTGTTATATACACATTACATACACAATGTTTATTAATTTACAATTGGATTCACTATGTACATTTTGATGAACTACATACATTTTATATACACAAAATGTGTTGTTTTGCAAAGTACAAATAGGGCGCCGGTTAATGAGCTCGGGGACTCGGCCCAAGCTGCGGCTGTTTTGCATGCCTGCCGCGCTGCTGCCTGGGGTGGTGGGTTGTACATGCGATCGAGTAATGACCAAGTATGCTTCACTGTGTAAGCTCCCACCGAAAAGAATGGAAACGAACGTGCCGAAAGTGGTGTGTGCCGCAATCAGCAACGACACGCTATCCAGTGAGCACTCTTATAATCAGTAAAGAACTGACGCCTTGGAAGGCGGTGCGCACTTGTGCGCGTCCAGACCAACCATCACTGACACTATCCTCTTTTCCTCTCTTTCACATTCCTTTCTCTCCCCCACCACCCATCCCCCGGGTGGCATTGTTAAGATGACCTCCTCAGAGAGAGACAGTTACCACGACACACTTTTCTCTTCACCTCCCTTTTTTTCAAATCTACTTCGAGAAGGCGAGCAGGCGTGCCATTGAAAAGTGATGCCTTGTGGGGCGGCGTGCCATTTAGTGAACATTGTTGGAATCACTGGAGAGGTCACCTTGAGCACGATCGCAGAAGTGTACATGTAACCTTGGTGTACACGTCGCCAACATAAGATAAGCCGTGCGCAGAATGAGCAAGCTCCTAAAAAGATGAACACAGGGTTTTCTTCAGCGCGAATATTACGATGTTATTTTTAACTTGGATACAGCATAACACAGGCAAGGGCAAAAGCAAGAAGAATACACCACGGCACTGACTCTCAACTGATATTTGATTGAAGAATTGTTAAACATATATATGTACCTACTGTATAAGCCGTGACATGCACAAGGCAGAGATGCATTGGGGCAGCATTTTAGTCAAAATTCTAGCAAATATCCCATCGAAGATGTTGCTGCCTGTTTGTCATGCTAGAGAGCTCACTTTCTATGATCTTGAAGTTGGAAGAAGCTATTCTCAACTCATAAGCAAGAACTCGTCTAACTAAAAATTGCAAATGATCAACACTGCAAGTAAAAGCATTTTCAGTGATTGGAGGATTCAGAAACAAGATTAGAGTTTAAGTAGCCAGCATATTTATCAAAAGTCTGACCATTCACTTGTGCTACGGCTGCTTATTCTGCAAGGCCATATGATGTTCATGCTGTAAATGTTTCTTGTAACATGTATGGTGAAGTTATTCGTAAAATGGCCATGTAAAATTTTTTGATGCCAATGAGAATATCTCTCAATTGTTTAGGTAACGAGTTGCTAAATGTGTTAGTCATAGCCAAAGCATTTCAAGTTGTTGCCTCATATCATGTTAAAGTTTTATACTGATTCAATGAGTCTCCTTTCTGCCATCACTGTACTTTCTTGAAAAATATAGCATTCACTATTGTGCCACTCGAGGCACCATCCGATTGGCATTTGCAAAATGGATGCAAAAGGTTTGTTTGTACTGATCCGAATAGTGTGTTGGTGTGTTTTTTTCTTTCCTTCTTTCTTTGTTCTTTTCTTTCCATAGGTAATGTGGCTATTGTCAAAAGCACTTGCTTGGGCATTGTGACACTAGTTGCTTACTTTTTTCAGTTCCATATGTGCAAGATTGAATTAGACAGTGGCTGAGCTTTGAAAAGGCAAAATTTTAAGGTAGTGTAGGTTTACCAACAACAGAAATTTATGTCATTGACACTTATGTTATTTGCTTGTTTGTCTTGCTGGTTTCAGTGGTGCCCTTAGCAGCATTACAGCCTCCCATATTCTCCCTGGATGACCACCTGTAAGTGGACTATGTTCTTGAACTGTGCATTTATTATTCAAACATTTTCTCAATACTTGCCAGTGGTGCCTTGCAGGCTAGTAAGTTGAGCATGCACGTATTGGAAACACGAGGCATACTCCAAGCAGTACTGAAGCAAGCTAGCAGCACCAAGACATGGCATAGAGTAAGACTTGGGGATTAACGCTAGAAGCTTCAACAGTGGGGTGATGCAAAATGTACAAACAGGAGTTGTGTTGAGTTTCCACATGTAGACTTGTCTTCCTCAATGCTAGAACAGAAGCAGCCTGAGCAAGACACGTCCACTTGTCGAAACGTCAGCTAAAAACGACCCCTGTTTATGGTTTTTTCATTGTAAGCTTCCTTTTTCCCCTTCTTATCATTTTTTGGATTAACAAGCGGGTGAGAAATTTGTCTGCACAACTTGGTAAGCCTAACTGTCAGGATGACATAACTTAATCTGTACTGATGGGCTTGTTGGTCAGCACTGATAGTCGTGAATCAGTTCATAAAAAACAGTCACTATCTCAAGTTTTTTTTGAGTAAAGTTCGGGTAAAAAAAAATGTTGGTCACACAAAATTAAGCGCCCAGAAATGATTCAAGTACTTTAGTTTTTGTCATTTCTATTTGTGCTCCATTGTGTTCTTTGTATACTGATCTATCATCTTAAAAATAGCATAAAATTGAGAAGAAAAACAGCCTCACAATTCAGAAAACGTGGCCATCACAAGCATAGATACAGCCAAACAGAAGGCCGCTTCACTCAACCCATATTGCTACTGTGTGTTTGACCTGCATACTTTTCAGCTCTGCACATGATGGTCCAACACTATGAAAGAGACTTCACACTTGACATCACTTCAGAGTAGTTGAACCTCAGGTTAAAGAGAATTTACTCATACACGTTACTGAAATCAGTTTCTGTCACACTACCATAACATTGGAACGAGCATTTAAGGGAAGACACTGCCACCACCGAAGGAGAAAGAGATGGAAAAGGGCATCAGCTTGCAACCTGTCTTGTGTTGGTCAGTAAGCATGCACTAACTTCTCGCCAAAAATATTACAGCATTTACTCATGTAATAGGCGCACTCTAATAATAGCTGCACCCCCAGTTTCGTCACTAGAAATAGTGTGGAATGAAAAAACTTTATTTTGGTCCTGCAAGACGTGCTTCGAACTTTTTTTATTTCCTCGCATAATAGGCGCACTCCTAACTTGGCCGTGATCTGCAGTAATTCTGTATTGTGTTTGCATAGTTGGAATTTACGCCCTTTTACGTTCTCTGAAGCGAGAAAAAAAATAATAACGCGGCAGCGCTGCGCGGAATTGCCGAGTGAGGATGAAGGGCTGTTGCCTGGGCGTTAAAGTAACCTTTGCACCGACGTGCGTGCGCAGCTCCAGCTGCTAGCCGGCCGCGTGCACTCTGCATGGAACGCATGATCACGTCCTAGATCTTCAAGTGTGTCAAATTTCCTGTTGGAAAAAGCGCCATCATTATTGTGTTTTCTACCTCATCCGCTAATTTAAAAGATGTGCGCTTTTCCTATGCGAACATTTGCCTTTGCAGCCACTACGCAGACTTGCACAAGCTCGATGGACTTTTGTCGTCGTCGATTCCCTAGCCACTAACCCAAACATTGTATCAAGTGCACTGCTCATGGATTATTGCTTTAGTGCGATCTTTCGACAACCAATCTTTATGTTGTCTTGTACAAGCTTGCTGCGACAACGTGCCGAACCATAGGCTAGGCCGAATCACTGTTCGTGCTTTTTGGTGGCGGTTGGGGTTCCGTACGAAATCAATGTAACTCTTTTCGGCAGCTCTACTTCAAGGAAAGGGGGCTTAGGTGGTGCTTGGAACACTCAAATGGAGGATCACGATTCGATTGCAATGTCTTTGATATAGCGCGCAAACCTGTGAAATTGAACAATCGGTACTGTTCCACGCATCAATAATCTGTGTCATCTGAAACATAATCTGTGAATTTCCACGATGCCGCTTTTTTTGTGTGTTTTGTGTTTGGTTTTTTTTGCATTAATTTCATTGGCAACGCGAGTCTTCCTATGTTAATTATTTGAAATTTGAATGCATCGCCTGCCTCGATTCTCGCTGCGTGCTCAACACATTTTTCGTTAATGTAGCCTTTGAAGTAGGTTGTTTCGGCTGTCGTGCAGATATTCATCACTTCCGCGACGTATACGTTATCAGCGGTCTACGCTGTAGTAAGAAATAAAATTTTCGGAAATTTTGTCCCATGTAAATGGCGCACCTCAAACTTTGAGCTGAATTTTCTAGAAAAAAAGTGCGCTTATTATGCGAGTAAATACGATGATATGCGAATATATTGTTTGCCAGGATGCGAATCATATGCTTCATCTGATACTATAAACGTGTGGGCTTTTGTGAATGAACTTTGCTGCCATGCTTATTTGTTGACCCTAGTTCAGTGTCGGCCCTCACGGCATGAATGGTGACGTGTGATGGAATGATGTAAGGGGGTGCTCAACTTATTTCTGTACGATATAATGCTGCGCAACTATTTGCTGTAGGTGTGTTTGCATCACGTTTTGATTCACTAGCATGGGGAGTAGAGGCTGCAGTTTTTATTTTTATCTATACCTGATTTCTTTGATTGCATCAATTCTAGCTGAAAAACTGAATAGTGGGATATAAATCTTTTGCAAATATTGTCACGGGGTTGTGACATGGCTGAAGGCAGAAGACTGGATGATCGGATAATAAACTGTTTATTCGGGCCTAACTTCTGGCCACGTAAAAAGAAAGTCAGATTACAGTACGGCACTGGCACTGATAGCAGCGAGCAGAGCGTCGGCCGTCGATCAACTGAGAAGCCGCCAAGCGCGTCGGCATTTATACACTTGCCATGGAATGTTCTAATGTCATCGCTAGCGGTGCCGTAGGTTCCAGAATAATCTGTAATGTTCACGAAGTGGGCATAATCTTAACAAAATGACCTACTACAGCCTGGAAGCTTTTCGAACATCGTAAGCGTGGTGTAACGGGGCTGATAACAAAACTTGAGGAAAGGAATGTTGCAGTGCCCCTCTCTGAAAAAGGCATGGTCCCGATGCTTTACTAGAAAATGAAAATGCAATAATAATGTAAGAAATTACAAATAATAAAGAACAATATAGCAATAATAACAACAAAATACACTCAGTTCGCTAACGATCATAAAACGGCTTCAGATGTGCGACATGGCCGATTTCTCGTCGCGATCGGCGCCATTGATTGTTAGTAATGCCGTCGGGGATAACCTCGTAGTTGAGTTGGCCGAGACGTCGTACTACCCTGTATGGTCCGAAGTACCGTCACACAAGTTTTTCACTGAGTCCACGTCGGCATATCGGCGTCCATACCCAAAACACGTTGACTGGCCTGGTATTCCAAGAAGTGTGGCCAAAGATTTAACGGTGGCGGTCTGTCATCTAATGATTCATGATGCACAGGCGGGCGAGTAGACGTGCTTCGTCAGCGTGCTGAAGATAGAGGGTGACGTCAAGGTTTTCTTTATCAGCGACGTTGGGCAGCATTGTGTCAAGCATCGTTACCAGGCTTCTTTCGTAGACCAACTTGTACGATTGCATCTGCGTCATCTCCTGTACGGTCGTGTTGTATGCGAAGGCCACAAACGGAAGAATGGCGTCCCACTCTTGCGTTTGACGTCAACGTACATGGCCAGCATGTCGGCGATTGCCTTGTTTAGCCGCTCGGTGAAACCATTTTGTCTTTGGGGGTAGGCGGTGGTGTGGCGGTCGCTTGTCTGGCTATGTGTCAACATCGCTCGAGTGAATTCAGCAATAAAGGCCATACCTCGATTGGTGATGACAACCTCTGGGGTGCCATGACAAAGGACGATGTTCTCAACGAAGAACTTGGCTACCTCTTCGGCGCTACTTTTGAGTAGAGCCTTTGTTTCAGCGTAGCGGATGAGATAGTCAGTAGCTACGACGATCCATTATTTTTCTAATTCGACGTTGGAAACGGCCCCAGTAGGTACATCCCGATTAGTTGGAACGGTCGGCGGGGTGGTTCGATCGGCTGAAGAAAGCCTGCTGGCCTTGTCGTTGGTGTCTTTCCTCACTGACAGTTTCTAAATGTCTTCACGTAACGAGCGACGTCGGCGGTAAGGTGGGGCCAGTAGTACCATTCTTGTATCCTTGCGAGCGTGCGGGAAACACCAAGGTGTCCTGCCGTTGGAACATCGTCCAGGGTCTGAAGGAGTTCTGGTCCCAGAGCTGAAGGCATCACAAGAAGGTACTTGGCTCGAAGCGGCGAGAAGTTCTTTTAGAGAAGGCTGTTTCGAAGGCTGTTTCAGATGTAAGTGCCCGTTTGAATACCTTCGGAGCAACGGAGGTCCTGCCCTCGAGGTATTCGATTAGCCTCTGAAGTTTCAGGTCAGCCCGCTGGCATTCAGCGAAGTCGTCGGCAGTTATCGTTCCCAAGAAGAACTCGTCATTCAGGTCTTCAGGAAGTAGTAAGTCGACGGGGGCTCGTGTTTTCTGCCTGACTTGTAGATGACGGTAATGTCATATTGTTGAAGTCTCAGGCTTCATCGGGCGAGGCGACCTGAAGGGTCCTTCAAGTTAGCTAGCCAACACAAGGTGTGGTGGTCGCTTACAACTTTGAAGGGCCTGCCGTAGAGGTAAAGACGAAACTATGACGTCGCCCAGATTATGGCAAGGCACTCCTTCTCTGTTGTGGAATAATTGCTTTCTGCCTTGAATAGTGACTGGCTAGCGTAACTGATAACCCTTTCCAGTTCGTCGGTTTCCCGCACAAGGATGGTGCCGAGTCATACGCTGCTTGCGTCAGTGTGCACTTCTGTTTCGGCGTTTTTAGCGAAACGCGCGAGTAAAGGAGGCATCTGTAAGTATCGTTTTAGTTCCCCAAATGGTTCCTCCTGTGGGGTTTTCCACTTGAACTCGATGTCAGTCCTCGTAAAGTTAGTGAGTGGCTCAACGATACGGACA